ATTACCATAAAAATCATGAGCTTTTTTGGCATACCAAGAATAGAACCTAGAGCAATTAGACGATAGGTATGTATAGATAATAATAATTATTAGTATAATGTTGTAATAAACCCTATCTTAATTCTCTAACAGTGTTTTAAAATTGAATAATAGTAAATAAAATAATATTTGTAGAGTTCAATTCTCAAATTTGAAGCTTAGATAGTTAATTCAATCAATTTTAAAAAATGACATCTAAAAATTTTAAGATTTAAATTTCAGTATCTGTAATTTTTTTATTTATTTGTAATCTCCTTTAAATAAAGAAAATTGAAAACTGGAAATTTAAATTTGAAGTGAAATGAACCAAGTTAAATGGACTTTCATTCAACAACCAAATTAGTAAAGAATAACAATACTGCCAAAAAAATATGAAACTTAATTATTTATTATAAGAACTAAATTGTTGCTGAACCGTCAGATTAAGATGCATGAATAATCATTTCAATTTTAACCATTGGATAGTATATGGTGCGACAAGCGTCACCTATTTATTTTAATTTAATTGTTGAGTTTTTTACTTTTAGTTCATTTTCATCTTAATCGTTGTTGTTAGTTTGGCTTGTCGTTTTCGTGGTTCGCTTATGAGGAGAAAGTCACACTTGATAATTTTAAAAAGGTTAATCCTCTGTTTCAGTGATTAATTCATGCTTTTTTGTTTAAATAAAAAAGATAATTTTATATAATATTGTTGAAAATAAAATAAAAAATAGTAAACTATATATTTGTTAGAAATATAATGCATATGCGAATAGTGATCATGACTACATTAAAAAATAGGAAAAGAGTTACATGAAATTTTATATGCGAAGTTCATGAAGTTTTTTATTAAAAATGAGTAAACAAAATTAAAATTAAGAATCAAAATCGATAAATTAAAAAATCTTATCACATAGGTCAAACATGCAAAATTTGAAAAAAAAATAATAAATTTTGATATATTTATTAAATAATCAATTTTAATAAAATTATTGATAAAATTTTTATCATTGAATAAGTATTGATTAAATTTAAATTATAAATAATATTTTTAATATTTTATATATATATTATTGATTTTTACATTAAACTCTATTAATCTATTAATTTAAATTTTTTATTAAAATTTTTATTAAATCATTTTAAAAATTTCACAAACTTCACCTATGTAAATTTATTTAAGTTTTGTCCTAAAAATAATAGATGGAAAATTGATTGAAAAGAGCCCAATCCACTAAGATGAAAGAAAACATTAATGATCGTTTCAACAGTTGAACAAAAAACAATGGGAAACTGTACAGCCCTATTGTTTAAGCCTGTGAAATTTGAGAATTTTACATTGCTCTTAACATTCCCCCTTGATTTTAACAAGAAATTCTGCCATTGTGGTCATGTTAGTTTGGCATATACCAGGCTGAGAATTCTTCAGATTTTCTGTGATATGGTACATTTATAGCCACTTCATTTGAGAGAAGATCATTTAGTAAGCCATCAAGTCCAATAATACCATCAACCTGAAAAAATAAGGTGGGATATATAAGATTTCTCAAAAGAAATGCATTCAAGATGATTAGAAACAATTACCGTACCCCTTAAAAGCTCCTTCTACATTCAGAGTGATAGTCCATCAAACATATTTGTGATCAATTAAAAGGAGAAATGAATTATTGTTGTTGGTGGCCTTAGTAATTAGATGATATTATAGCATTGCTATCAAATCCTGATTTCTATAAATATGGAATCACTCAGCTAATTGCACCCACCTAAAAGTTCCAATTACTCACCTTTCCTATAAGTTTAAAAACCTTTTAGATTCAAAGATTGCAGACCCTGATTTACACTACTGATATATCAAAGAAGCTGATTTAATAAGAATAGGGAAAATCAAATGCTTACCTGATTCTGAATCCTGTAGCCAAGCTACATAGCAATTTCGTACGTTGTAGTCGTGGTCGTTGTCATCGTGAGGCCTTGTTGCCAAGTTCAGAGAGGCAATACGAGTGAACCCCGATCGAGTTCACGAAATGCGGGCTTGTTAACATCGTAACTCAGTGAGTCAAGGAGTTGCTCGGCGAGTTTCTCTAAACCCCCTAACTCCGTTACAGGCATTCCAAGATGCGACGTTTCGCTTCCTTTTCCTTCCACCAAAAAAGCTAGGAAACGAAAGCCTTTTGCAGCCATTATATTACTCGAAATGAACTGTTAATGAGGTAAAAATAGTAGAGAGCGTAAAAGTTACAAGTAAATGTCACATGTCATCAAATTCACATGTTCCGAAAAATTAAGAACATCCAGCAGCATCCCTATCTTCTGAGAATCAAATCTTCCTATTACAATCACCAATGCTATCAGTCAGAATCTGCCTCTCCATCTGTGAATTTGATGATTTTGTGACAAGTCCCTTTTAACTTTCCCTGCTGTTTACTATCTTCTTTCTCATTAACAACATCAAGCAAAAGGATATGATAGAATCCATAAAAATGTTTTCCATGCTGCAAATCTCGTGCTTCAAGTGGTGATGGTAGATATTGGATTTAAAGCTAGAAAGCCGGCCAAAAAACATAAGGATAAGCATGACTACAAACAATAGAGCCTCAATTTGTCATTGACATCTTTAAGTTTGCGAGAATGATCCTCTTCATCAGGAGGCTTACAAAATGCCTCTTGAAACATGCAGTACTAGCTTCATGATCACGATAATAGAGCCTTGATTTGTCATAGCCATTTAAGTTCTCCCATATTTTCATTTGGAGAGAGCATTAACCTCATATAAAAACTTTACTAGGAAAAGCGAGTAAAAATAATTGAGAGAAAGACATTTCTATTTCATTACCTCTTAGTTTAGCCGATACTTCACATCACTGTCTTTTGTTTTCTCTTTTCGCAGCCTCATTCAGTTAATCTCTACGACCTCTTGCTCTTCGTTGATGTGAAGCTTCTGATAGGTCCCCTTGACTCAAATGGTGCATACTGCTGAAAGTTCCTTGGATCAGCATGTATAACTTGGTCATACAGTCCCATATGTGAGGATAAATAGGAACTTGTAGCTTCTGATGTAGTATCCACCATATTCCCAATGCCAAATCTTCTTTGCATTTTGCAGATTGACAAATTCTAGTTGATCTGGACAATTAAATGATATAATAATATTAACCGCAAAGATGTGAATAATTAAACCGTAGGTTATGAATCATAATACAAATGACAAGGAAAACATTCCACTCAACTAATGGGGTACGAAATCATATAAAATCTTGTTTGAAGAACATAAAAAGCAGATTAGTCAACTTTATCCAAAACAGAGGCAAAGGGGAACAGACACATAGATTGAGCCTCCCATCAAGAATCTTCAATGAATCCCGGATGAAGAATTGACAAATCACAACTAAAAATAAGAGCTGAACATTTCACTTGGCTTAGATCATTGATAGGACGAGGCAAATACAATCTGGGAAATTTTTGGTGTTGTCTAATTTTATTCATAACTATTGCAAACATGTCTTTTACATCTTGCAAGAAATCAATTTTGTATATACTGGCCGGCTGGTTAACCTATCCTGCCCCTAACCTTTCACAACCAAATGATGACAGTAACCTTAATTACTTATCCATAAGGGAGTGGTTGGCCTGAGAATTTAACCTCAAGATATCAAAGGCAACAACAATTGGACCATTAATTCCGACATTTATAGTGTAAGCAAACTAATTGTTTACTAAATTTCAATAATCAAATTGAGTAAAGATAGATACCTTGTTCTTAGCTTGGCGCTGCAATTGCTTTAACTCATTTTCTAAAGCTGAATGATTCAGAAATTTTAATTGCCAAAAATAATAGACAACTACATTTTCAGACAAATGAAATTGAAATACGTACCTCAAAACTTATTTTGATAGGTAAATATTTTACTTAAATAGAGAGAAGAAGGGGAAAATCTTTCTACAAGCAGAAGTACAGCTAATCATCAGTAAAAGATAAAAACAACTTACAACATAAAAGACACAACCAAGTAAACGGACATCACCGAACTGACAAATAAGAAAGCAACTAAATCTCTCATTGCTGATATAAACTGGAATTGACTGCAGAGCCCGCTGCTTGGTTTTTGCTTCTGAATCTCAGTTTTGGTTTGCAATGAAACTTTGAATTGCAGAGAACAGTGAATGCAGCTGCGAGGACCCAACGCTTGAGAGCAATTGAGAGAGCAAAGAGGGAAAATTAGTTTCTTGCATGCATTTTCTATTTATTTTAACAGTTTTAAGAATTTTATAGCACAAGATTGAAGAGATAGGTATAGGGTCTTATAATTATGTACTTGGGTTTATAGCACAGGATTGAAGAGATAAAATTTGCTTAAATCTAATAACAAAACATGCCAAATGATCGCTGAACTGAATAGAAAATGAATAGTGAATTAATAATGACAAGCTAACACATTTCATACCATATCAAACTTGCTCAATGCTGATTAGAAACTTATGTTTGATTTTCTTGTGCATAACCACAACATCCGCCATATTGTTTCTATCCTCAGGTAACTCAGCTGAACATTTCAAAGCTAACTCCATGATAGATGATATACAATTTGCTTTAATAATGAAATATTCGTCCTCTCTTCTTAATAAATTGACATCTGCAATATCAATCATTGCTTTAGATAAGGATCTTTTCATCCAATGCCTCATAGTCATTGTTTCACTAAAAATTTCATCCGTTGGCTTCTTTTTTGTGAAAGTTTCTATTAAAAGAATCCCGTAACTATAGATGTCACATTTTATGGAAACAATTCCCGCTGATCCAAATTCTGCATTTCAAGTATAATCGAAAGTATTATTGATCATTAACTAATTCTAAAAAGATTGTCTAACTATATCATGTAAAGTCCTAAATATGAAAAAATTGTAAAGAAAAAAAAGAGAAAATAACCATAAGTACTCAAAAGATCACCTGGTGCCATATATCCAATAGTTGCAATTGTCATGGTTTATCGCATGAAATCATCTTCTTCTAATAGTTTGGCAATGCCAAAATCTCCCAAATGCACAACCATGTCTTCATCTAGCAGAATATTACTTGGCTTTAGGTCACAATGGATTATCGGAGTTGGTTGTCCAGCATGGAGGTATTCTAGAGCTGATGCAACATCTATCATTATATTGATCCTTTGTAAGATATCAAGAAAATAGTGCTCAGAATGTAACCATTTTTCAAGACTTCCATTAGGCATGTCAAGCACCAAGGCTTTGAAGTCCACATTGGAGCAGCAAGTAACGACCTCGACAAGATTGCGATGTATCATATTACGCATAGCTTCACATTCAGTGTCGAAACTCCTAAATGCTCCCTCTATCTGCAAATTGAAAACTTTTATTGCAACATTCATCCCATCTGAAAGCCTCCCTTTATATACAGATCCAAAACTCCCTGAACCAAGAAAGTTACATTCTCCAAATCCATCAGTTGCTTGTGAAAGTTCTGCATATGAAATTCTTCTCCATGTTTTCAAAGATAACAAATCTTCCTTAACAGGTAGAGTTATACTCCTACTTTGGCGTTTTCCTGTATATAATAGTAAAAACTATGGTTACTACAACTGTAGCAATTGTTAGTAAACCATACCTTAAAACACGCAATATGGTCAACTTGGAATTTTTGTGGATGCTACTCTTGCAAGGTGGGACTAGCAGTCTAGATGGACCGCAAAGTGCATAATTTTTCATGAATGATCTACTGGAAAAGTTTTGAAAACATCTTCCAGTGGGGATTTCTCCTTCCAATCTGTTGTAGGACACATTAAAATATTTTAGATTCAAAAGCTTTTCCAAAGTTTTGGGAATAACTCCAGAGAGATTGTTATTGGATAAATCCAAGAATTCCAAACTAATCAAGCCACCAAATGATTCAGGAATATGACCATGAAACTTGTTATTAGATAAATCTAAAGAAACCAATGTTTCAATGCCCCCAATTGAAGACAAGATATCACTCATTAGTAGATTCTTTGACAAATTCAAATACATTAGTGCCCTTAAATATCCGATATCAAGTGGATGTGAGCTGCTAAAGTAGTTTGACGACAAATCTACTTCTAAAATATCTTTAAGGCTCCACAAGGTTGAAGGTATTGCATAACTCAATTTGTTGGATCCCAAGTAAAGATTTCGTAAAGAAGTCAAATTACCCAAACAAGTAGGCATAGGTCCATTGAGCTTATTAAAAGATAATTTCAATGCATATAATCTCTCCAAACCACAGATTTTTTCAGGGATGGGCCCTTGTAACTCATTAGTCTCAAGAGTCACACTTTGGACATTTCGTAGTCCTCCTATTGTCGCTGGAATAGATCCACTTATTTTGTTATAGCTAAGGTCTAAAAGAAACATGTTGCTTAAGTTAGCGACTTCCAATGGAATATTACCTTGAAGCTCACAATCAAAAGCTAAAAGTTGTTGAAGAGTTGTGGAAAGATTCCCAATATAAGTTGGAAGAATGCCATTCAATGGAATTTGTGAAACATCTATAAGTCTCAAATTCTTGCAATTTACCAAAGAAGAGAGAAAGCTCCACTTGTGAGTAGCAGGTTCTGTGGTAAAATGATTGTTCCCAATTTGGAACCATTCAAGGCGTCTTAAGTTGCCAAGAGTATTTGGAATAAGGCCTGAGAAGGAGTTATCTTGTAATGCAAGCACCTTGAGCATGGAAGCATTGGAGATAGAATTGAGAATGTTTCCGGTAAGATTATTTCCCTCCAGAATGAGTGTTTCAAGTTTTGGAAAATTGGTCATGAGTGGTAAGTTACCTGTTAAAAAACTAAACTTTTTAGTACTTTGTGCTTATCACAATTTTGTCAGAGTGTATTTGACAAGATAAAAACTAAATTGAAAAAAAATATAAAAGTTGAAAGAAAAATAAAGTGTGTTTATAAATTATGTTTATTTTTATAAAAAAATTTGTACAAACAAATCAACCACCAATTCAATAAATTTTATTTTTAAATTTTAAAGGAGAAAAATTATCTTTGTTTTAGAAGTGAAAATGTATTACTACCATCAAGCTAATAATCACATATAACCAATTGAATGGTGTCCAAGAAGAGATTAAAATTCATATTTCATACAAGACTACATGAATTTAAATTGTTAAAATAAATGAAAAGTAATTGAATCCATATTGTGTCCGGAATCTTTCAAAATTTGAAATTCATTTAGGCCTATTGAAATCAGCATTTTGACTTTAGGCAACATTTGTTTTGGGTTTTAATTTACCAATTGGTCTTATTAAGATTAGGCTCATTTTCTAGTTTCTTCATTTTATTTTATTTTATTTCAAAAATAAAAAAAAATCTGATTTTCCTTTCTTTATATTTTTATTTTATTTATACATTTTATTTATTTATTTATTTATCTTTATCTTTATTTTAGCTTTACACTTTATTTTATTTATGTGTCTTTATCTTTTTATTTTTACATGAGATGCATGAAATAATTTTACTTATTTAATATGGATATATATAAATATATAAATTAGATTCTTTTCAAATTATATTCAAAATTTTAAAACTCATAGCATATATAAAATTTATATAAATTAACTTCTCATTAAAAAAATAAACTTTCTAAATACAGCAAAAAAAATTATATCTTTCCTTTGGATATTTTTGTTTACAATAATATTTATACATCTGTAAGATTATATCAAATAAAAATAAATTATGCTTTTCTTAAAAAAATAAAAATATATATTATTAAATGATAATTTAAATAATAAAAGAAGTATTAACATATTTTCACTTTAGTAATCTTGACTAAATTATTATGCAAAATATAAAAAATGTTAGAAAATATGTGAAAAAAGAACAAATAAATTGAAAAAAAATTATTTTTCATAAGACTGAAACTGTTATAACAATATAATATATCTTGAAAAAAAGTTATAAATAAAAAAAATGTAATAGTAAAAGAATATACCTTGAAAAAATTATTGAAAAAATGAAAAAATTGATGTATAATACATTACATTTGTAAGCTTAAATTTATAAAAGAATTTTTTAGTGGTAATTAGGATTAAATATATAATTTTTAAATTAATTTTTGAAAATTTTAAATGGATATAATAAGTGATAAAGATAATATTAATTTTTTTTTGCATTTATTTGAACTATAAATTTAATATTTAGAGTTCAAATAGATATAATGGTTTTAATAATCTTATTATTTAAAAATTTAGGATGAAAAATTTTTTTATTTTCAAAATCTTATGTAAAGTTACTTGAATTTTTAATGTCTTAAGTAAATTTTTTAAATCAAGATAAAAAAGATTGTTGAAAGATTTAGATAAACTTAATCTTTATCATTCTTAAGCATGTTTGAAAGATTTTGATAATTAAATAAATTTTTAAAAAAAGTTATTTGGTAAACAATTAAAATTATTTATTAAAAAATAAAATAAATATTTTATATTTTTGATTTAAAAAGATATATCTCTGAATTGATTTGATTTTCAATTATAATTTGAATAATTTTGATATTTGAATAAATTTAAAATTATCTAATTTGTAATTAAAAGATATTATCTTATTTTTTAAAAAATTATCTTATGTATCATTTAAGAAAATTATCCATATAAGCGCCTATGTGACAAACTTATTTATGTATATTGTTATATAATATATATATATATATATATATATATATATTAGATGTGTCTTTATCTTTTTATTTTTACATTTTATTCTATTTTTCTATCTTTATTTATTTTTATTTTTACATTTTCTTTATTTATTGCTTTCATTTGTTTATCTTTTTATTTTTGTTATTTTTGAAAAAAATAAAAATGAAAAACCAGAAAAAATGAAAGCTAGTTTTAATCGGTGATTAAATTTAGGAAGATGATGACACATATCATGAGGCAATCTACCTGATAAACTATTGTTTCCTAGAGAAACCTTGGTCAGAGAAGAAATGTTGAAGATGGAAGCTGGAATCTGACCAGTAAGGCCCATATCTCTTGCATATAACACCTCTAAATTAAATAGATTACCAATTTCCTCAGGAATTTCACCTGCAAACAAGGTAAACAACCAAAGTGTTAGCTGGACTATCTATTTTGTTTAAGTGTTTTAGTATATTGGTTTAGAAAATTAAATATTTTGCACTGAAAAAATGAAAAAAGAAATGAAAATGTGTTTCGACTAAATAAATCAAATTAAAGCTTGCTTTCTCTGTTATTTGTACCCAGATATACTTTGAGTTGTGTTAAATTTCTAATATTTCTTGGAATGAACCCATTAAATTAATTACCGGCCAATGCTAATTTTTTAAGCTTGTTGCATTTGCCTATACTTGATGGAATATAACCAGATAATTCATTTATGAACAATTAAAGCACTTCAAGTTTAGGAAGATGGACACACAAATCATCTGGCAAACTGCCAAAAAGACTATTATCTTGGAGATAAATCTTTTTCGAGGAGAAAATCTTGAAGATGAAAGTAGGAATTTGATTGGATAGTTGATTGGTTCCTAATTCCAAGATCTTTGGGTTGGACATGCTAATTAGTGTTTCCCTGTAAAATTATTATTTCTCATTCCCAAGCCGTTGAATTTGAACCAATGTGGGGAGTCGAGCCAAGCCATTTTGTGAGCTGCTAAACTGAAATCAATTTTGGTAATTTTTTTTTGTTTGATTTTTTTATTTGTTTAAATTAAAAAAATTATTTTTTAAGGATTAAAAAAATTAAATTTATAGAAATCTACCAAATTATTAAAGGATTTTCATGGATTTAAAATAAATTTAAGAAAACCATACCACACTATTGGAGAATCTTATTTGAAAAATGCAATCTTACTTAATTATTGGAGAATTTCATGAGCTTTAAAAAAATAATTTTTTTAAATTAAATTTCTAAAAATCTATTAAATTATTAGATAATTTTAATGGATTTAAAGAAATCTTTTAAAGTAAATTTAAGAATTCATATCAAACTGTTGAAGGATCTTATTTGGAAAATAAAATCCTACCAATATATTTGAAGGATTTTATTGATTTTGAAACAATAAAATTTTGAGAATAAAATCCGATGAAGTTAGAGCCTCTTTGATAGTGACACTAATGTTCTTAAATATTCTTGAGTTGAAAAAATATTAATAAATTTCTATCAAATTAAAAAAATAATTTTCAATATATAAATTATTTGAAGATTTTTTAAAAAGTATTTATAAGGCTTAATGGATAATACGAAATCAATTGGTACTATCTTTTGGATAAGTGTTGTAGGATACTTATAACTTTTTCTGCATATAATTATACTTTTGAATTTATTTCGATTTCATAGAATAAAATCTATTCTTTTAAAGAACTTGAGTTAAGTTTAGGGCATTTCTTTAAAATGAGATAGATTAATTACGTGATCAATCATATTTAAATAAAAAAAAGATTAATGATGATTCTTATATTTATATCTAGCGATCAAATTTACGGACTTGTATGTTAAGACACATATTTTTGTTATGTACAAGAGATTAATTTTGTATTTTAATCATAGTTTTTTTTTTTTTATAAATACGGTATAAGATATTTTCAAGTTTTGTTTGAATTTAATTTCTTTTTTTAGACGATCTTAATGGTGCATTTTTCTTATCAATTTGTTGTATTCGAGACTTTATTTTTAGAATGTTCTCCACAAGAATCAAACTCAAGTTAATAAGAAAATGACACTCCTCTCTTTACCAATTAAACTAACTCTTTATTGGTTAATCATAGTTTAAGTATTCTTTCAACTATATTACCAACTTATAAGACAATACACATAATTGATAATCCTAAATACTAATTTATTACAAAAAAAGTGAATTCAGGATTTAGTTTTGTAGGCCTATACAACTATCTTTAAAAGTTAACATTTAATAAATATGTGGTTTGATTTTCAAAACCAACAATCCCTTTTTTATTCAAAAGTTTTGATCTCTTAAATACCAAAAAAAAAAAAAAAAACAAAAAAACAAAAATACAAAGTCAGTCCTTTTGGGAGCCTGCATTTTACTTCAAGATTTGCATAATATATCTCGGTACTTGCGAGAGAAAGCTACCAAATTTTCTGCTTTAGAGAAAGCTACCAAATATTTTGGAAAGAAATAGTTTTATAGTGTTTGAAAAATCACTAAAAAGTTTTAAAATATATTGAAAATGAAATTCATGATTTTTTAACGTGTTCGATAATTCATTCCAAAGACCATTTAAATCAAAGATTTTTACATAGTTAAAAGCTATTTAATATATTCAATCATACTTCTTTAAGGAAAAATCTATCATTTAATTACATTGAACTTATATTACGTTTATTTTAACTATTTTTTGAATTTTTTTTAATGTGAAATACTTAAAAGTAATCAAAACATTTATTTAGTATTTAATTTTTAATAAAATATAAAAATTTTTTATAGCAAAATGCAGTACTAAAATTTTAAGATAAACATTATTTAATTGAAATTTAGAAATAGGTTGTGATCATATATGCTTGAGTATATACAAATAAAAAATATATAGTAATAAATTGGCACTAAAAATTTTCTAACTCTAATTACAAAAACTGTGAAATAGAAAAGAAACATATTTGTTAGAATGTTTTTGGACTTGGGAAAAAAACTTAGGCAAAGGCATACCTTCTAAACTATTTTTAGCTCTATGTACTTCTTTGAGCATTTTTCAATTCAAAATACATTTTAAAGTCTAGTCTTGAACTATATATTTTTTTGAACTGGATTAATTCAAGTTTTTTTACCTCAAAAGAAGAAAATTCAGCTAATGATGGTAGTGAAAAGGGCTAAAGATAGGTTGCGATCATATAAATAAAAAAAATTCTAGCACTAAGTCTTATTAGGTTAAATTTGGCACTAAAAAATTCTAAGGAAAAAAACTATGTGGAACCAAATAACTCTAAAAAGATTATAAACTACTTGAAGAAACAAAATTAAATAAAATGCTTTTAGCATAGAACAGAAAATTAAAGGCAAAAGCATACCTTCCAATCTGTTTCCATTAAGATATACTTCTTTGAGCATGGTTAAATTCCCGATGCTTTTTGGAATGAGCCCGGTGAATTGATTTATATTTAATGCCAAATACTGCAGGTTGTAGCATTTGTCTATACTTGATGGAATATTACCAGATAATCGATTCTTACGCAAGTAAAAAAACTCAAGGTGAGGAAGATAATGACACATATCAGGCAATCTACCTGATAAACGATTGCTTTCTAGAGCAACAGTGGTCAGAGAAGAAATGTTGAAGATGGAAGCTGGAATCGGACCAGTAAGGCCATTATATGCTGCACTTAACACCTCTAAACTAAAAAGATTACCAATTTCCTTAGGAATTTCACCTGCAAACAAGGTAAACAATCAAAGTGTTAGCTTGACTACTTATTTTGTTTATTTCAGTATATTGGTTTAGAAAATTAAATATTTTGCATTGAAAAAATATAAAAAGAAATGAAAATGTGTTTATACTAAATAAATCAAATTAAAGCTTACCTTCTAAGTTATTTACACCCAAATATACTTCTTTGAGTTGTGTCAAATTTCCAATATTTCTTGGAATGAACCCATTGAATTGATTAATGGACAATGCCAATTTTTGAAGCTTGCTGCATCTGCCTATACTTGATGGAATATAACCGGATAATTCATTTATGTACAAGTAAAGTACTTCAAGTTTAGGAAGATGGACACATAAATCATCTGGTAAACTACCAGAAAGACTATTATCTTGGAGATAAATCTCTTTCAAAGAGGAAATCTTGAAGATGGACGATGGAATCTGACCGGATAGTTGATTGTGTCCCAAGCCTAAGGTCTCTAGGTTGGACATATTAACAAGTGTTTGAGGAATTGTTCCTGTAAAATTATTATTACTCATTTTCAAGTTTTCAACTCGATGTAATTTCCCAAGCCATGATGGAATTCCCCCATTAATGCCATTAAAGCTTAAATGAATGAGCCTCAAACGATGTAGTTGCCCCAATTCTTGGGGTAGATTGCCATAGAAATTGTTCCTGCTCAAGTTGAGATAGAGTAGAAATGAGAGATTTCAAAGATGTGGAGGGATAGTACCCGTAAGATTCATGTTTGAGAGAGTCAAGGATGTGACCCTTCCATGTCTGACACCACAAGAAACACCAAGCCAGTTACAAACAGAGCTGGAGGCCGTCCAATTGTCTGCCAAGACATTGTGAGGATCAAGGATATGGTGTTTAAAGTCGAGAAGCGCAAATTGATCAGTGGTGAGATTCCTCATAGTCACAGCTAAGCAAGCTATGAAACATTGCATAAAGAAAAATGAAAGAAAATGGAAGTAAGTGCTGTTCATGGTTGTAGGATGCGTATCAAGAAAGGAGTTCGAAAGAGGAAACTAAAGTGGTGTAATTGGTAGCTATAGGATGATCAAGGAAGAGCCCATAAACCTTACTTAAATAGGGGTAGTCCACATTTGTTTTTATCAATGGAATTGGAAAGTAATTTCAGTAATTAAAAGATTTTCCATTGGTTCCACAAGTTTCCTTTCTGGTGCTTGACCTTTTAAGTCTTCATGATGGAGATTAAAAACCCATTTTTCTATTCATTATTGAGATATTCCTTTCGACTCATTTCACCGACAATTAATTTATTATAAGTAACGACTTCAATAAGGTTAACGTTTTTATCATTCCAACTGATCTTTTGAAAATGAATGCTTTTGGCCCTCACCAACTAAAATAAATAAAACTTCACACGACAATTCATTGTTAGGGAAATATTGTCGTAACGGTTTTGTGTCCGTCCGACGAATTTAGAAACAAAATAAAAAATAACGGAGTCGTGACCAATCTTTTTTGGATAGGTGCGATTGGCCACCTACTAAAACATATCCTTTTAATGAAATCTTAAAATTAATTAAAATTTATTAAAAAGATAATTTTGCAGTTTGCGAAACAGTCTGGGTTCGGGAGTCGGTTACGCATGGGGAAGGATTAGCACCCCCACAATGCCCGTTAAAAACGGTACCAATTAACAACGTATTATCCTTTGATTTTGATAAAAACAGTCTTATTTTCAGTATTCGAAAAATAATTTCCTTGATTTTTTATTTATTAAAAAAAATTATTCTCGAGAAAAATAAATCAAAACCTTTTTATTGAAATAATTCTTAAAATGTTCCAGTACGTTGGTAACATTAAAAGAACTCTTTCTCACCTAGAGATTTCTTAAAGCATCTCTACTCGGAATACTTTTAGCATCTCATCTTTGGAGGCTCGAATTTATTTTTCGTAAGAAAATGTTAAAAAAAAATTTATTCTCGAGAAAAATAAATTAAAACCTTTTTATTGAAATAATTTTTAAAATGTTCCAGTACGTTGGTAACATTAAAAGAACTATTTCTCACCTAGAGATTTCTTAAGGCATCTCTACTCGGAATACTTTTAGAATCTCATCTTTGGGAGGTCTAAATTTACTTTTCGTAAAAAATTATGTCATGTATGCAATGCAAATAATAACATGTTGATGCACACATCTTTTTCAAAAATTTTATTAATTGTTTTATTAATTTTTTAATTAAAATTAAAATTTTGAAGAAAAAGGAATTTAATTATATTGAAGATTTTCTATAAATATTCCAATACGCTAGTAATATTTTACAAAACATCTTCTCACCTAGAGATTTCTTAAAGTATCTCTACTCGGAATACTTTTAGAATCCCATCATTGGATTAAATTTCTTTCCTTCCTATTTTTATTACATATATTTTTAATTTATTAACCAATTTTTATTTATTATTTTAAAAAAAGAAAATCTTTACTGTATTGAAAATTTTTTATAAATACTTCAATACGTTGGTAGTATTTTAAAAAAAATCTTCTCACTTAGAGATTTCGTAGGCATCACTACTCAGAATACCTTTGAATTTCATCATCGGATAAAAATTTCGTTTTCTTTCATTTTTTATTACTTTAGTATTATTATTAAATTTATTTTTATATTATTGTTTTTAAAGTTTATTTTTAAAAAATTAACATAATTATATAAAAAATTTAACCACAATTTCATCATTTAATTTAACAAATTTAAATATTTTAATATGCATAAATATTAATAAAATAATATATAAAAATTCAAAAAAATTCAAAAAAATTTTTTTTTACCTGAACCGGACCGGTCAATGGTCCGGTCAACGTCGGTTCGGCTCGACGGTTCCCCAGCAGTTCGGCTCGGTCTGGACGGTTCAATATCGGTTCGGCTCCGATCCAGTCAGACTGGTCAAAGGTTGATGAAGGAAGCGGGTCGCGGGTCGGGTGCGCGGACCCCGGGTCGGGTTGCGAGTTGATGCGCGGATCTTCAGTGGTTAAAACGACGTCGTTTTGGCCTGTAATAAAACAACGTCGTTTTGGTTCTGAGCGTTTATATAAAAGGTCCAAAATTTTTTTTTCATTCCATTTTCCCATTTCTCAGAAAAAAATGCCCCTCTTTTTTTTTCTCTCATTTCTTCTTCAGTCGGACGCCGGTCGACCGACCACCGTCACCGCCGTTCTCCAATCATCGACCGCCATCGTCGGTGATCGAAAAACTCCCAAAAGCACCCAAAAAATTCTCCTCGTCACCTTAAACACAGATCCGGGCTTAGTTTCTTCCGAAAGTAGCCCAAACAACCTAGATCGACCTTCAAAGTTTCGACTGAAAAGACTTTTCTTTTGTTTATGTGATTTCTGGTTTGTTTTTGTTGTGTGTTTTTGTAGGTATATTTTGGCGCTGGGTTCCCCATTCCAGGGGACTATTTTTGTATTTTTTTTGTTTCTGCAGAATTTTTTTTGACAGAAGCTTTTCCTTTTTTTTTTTGCAATTTTTTTTCTGTTCCCTTCCCTCTGGTCCTCCATTTGCAAATAACAAGCTTTATTTATAGAGCTTGTTAGGATTCAAATCCCAGATCTTCTGGGATTCGAATCTCATTTTTCAACTAAAAAATCATGCCTGCCGTTCGTGATTGATGGCTTGTCGGTCGGCCGTTGACGATTAGCGACAGTGATTTTGGAGTTTAGAGATTGTGCATTTAATGCACTAGATTTGAATCGGATAAGGATGAAGAAGAAGGAAAAAGAAAGGAAAAAGAAGACAAACGCAGAAACGGGAAGAAAAGAAAGAGAAGAAGAAAAAAGAAAGAAAATAATAATAATAATAAAAAAAATGGTGTTTACAGTTGCCCCTCTTTGCCTATTTCTGTGAATCATGAATAAGGCAAAGACAAACAAATAACCATTTTGCTTGGAAAGATGAAATATTGAGAAAAGAAAAGAAGAAAAAAAAAATTTTTTTATTGGTTCGACAGAAAAGGGGTCCTCTCAACAGAGGTTCAATCGATAGTTTTGAAAGTTTAAAAGGCTCCTCTCAGCAGAGGCTTAACAACTTTAAAATTCTCTTGAAAAAGCTGCTCTCAACAAAGGCTCAACAACTTTAAAATCTTATCTTGGAAAAGCTCCTTTCAGCAGAGGCTCAACAACTTTAAAATTTTATCTTGAAAAGGCTCATCTCAACAGAGGCTCAACAACTTTAAAAATCTCATTTTGGAAAAGCTCCTCTCAGCAGAGGCTCAACAACTTTAAAATTTTCATCTTGGAAAAGCTCCTCTTAGCAGAGACTCAACAACTTTAAAAATTTCTTGAAAAAGCTCCTCTCAGCAGAGGCTCAACAACTTTAAAAATTTCATCTTGGAAAAGCTCCTCTCAGCAGAGGCTCAATAACTTTAAAATTTTATCTTGAAAAGGCTCCTCTCAAAACTGAGTTCTTTTCTTTTAACAAGTAAATTCTTCTATTTTGAAATCTTTTATTTGATCAGGAAATGAAAAGTCTCCGTCTTTATTAAAACTGTTCATGGATGCATGTATTGAGTGCTCTAAATGTAATGCATGTAATGCAATCAAAATTATTCATTATAGTAAAAAGGTTCTCAAAATCTCTCACTTTTGGCTTCTTTTATCAGAATTTTTGTACGACCAATCTGTTCTTAACATCTGACCACAATATTTTTCTTCTTCAAAAGTCTGTAACATCAATGTCCTGTCATACTTTTCTCATTTTTTTTCATTTGCCTTTGTCAACTTTTAAAAAAGTAATGCTAAGATCTTTCATGTTTGTTTTTCTTTTCATCATTTTAAGTCCAAGACCAATAAAATGCAATCACACATTTCTTCTATTCATATGGTGGACAAAAATAAGAATAAAGGAATGGATAGGTGTTATTCCCAAAAAAAAGAAAGCATATTTTATTAGACTGGTAACAAGTACATGGTAAAGTATTTGAGTTGAAACAAAGGTGCCCAAATGATGATCATAAGATAATCATGAACAGAATATTCTCAGATTTTTTTAAAAACTAAATTAGATGACTTTTTTGATCTTTCAGAGTTCATCAAACTACACTTGCCCCTGTATTGTGGAATGATGCTTCTTCTTCGCATCCAAGTCACCTTTTTCAGGTTTTCAACTTCGGATGAGTCATCATTTTTTCATTTTTTTTTACTTTTTTTCTTTTTTTTTTCAAGCAAAATATTTCTTCACAGCATCTGAATTTATTGAAACAGGTAAATCACTTCTGTCCATTTCTGCCAAAATTAATGCCCCACTAGAAAAGGCCTTTTTCACCACATACGGGCCTTCCCAATTTGGTGTCCATTTTCCTCGATTATCATGTTGATTTGGAAGGATCTTTTTCAGCACTAAATCTCCTTATCTAAAGTAACGAGGACGGATTTTCTTGTCATGTGCTCTCATCATTCTTTTTTGATATAATTGACCATGACAAAGTGCTGTAAGTCTTTTCTCCTCAATGAGGTTCAACTGCTCATAGCGATTTCGAACCCATTCTGTTTCCTTCAATTTTACCTCCATTAGGACTCTCAGCGAGGGAATTTCCACTTCGACCGGTAGCACCGCTTCCATTCCATATATCAAAGAGAACGGAGTGGCCCCAGTAGACGTTCGGACTGATATTCTATAAGCATGCAAAGCAAAAGGCAACTTCTCATGCCAATCTTTATAAGTATTAGTCATTTTTTTCAGGATTCTTTTGATATTCTTATTTGCAGCTTTTACTGCCCCGTTCATCTTTGGACGATATGGTGTCGAATTACGATGACGAATCTTGAACTGAATGCAAACTTTATTCATCATCTTACTGTTCAAATTTTTGGCATTATAAAAAATAATTATCTCTGGAAGCCCATATCTGCATATTATCTCTTTTTTTATGAATTTGCATACCACAGATCGGGTCACACTAGCGTATGATGCGGCTTCTACCCATTTTGTGAAGTAATCAATCATCACAAAGATGAATCTATGTCCATTTGAAGCTTTTGGAGTGATAGGACCAATGACATCCATACTCCACATAGAGAATGGCCATGGAGGAGGCAAAACATGCAAAGCTATTGGAGGAGTATGGATCTTATCAGCATAGATCTGACATTTATGGCATTTTCTGGCATAACCAATACAGTCACTTTCCATTGTCAACAATAGTATCCAGCCCTCATAATTTGTCTAGCCATCATATGACCATTTGTATGTGCCCCATAAACTCCATCATGCATCTCTTTAATAATCTTCTTCGCTTCAGCTGCATTCACACATCTTAAGAGTACTTGATCTCGACCCCTTTTATAGAGGACTTCTCCGTCAAGAAAGAAACTCATAGCCAACCTTCTGATAGTTCTCTTATTATTTTTTGTTACATGTTCTGGGTATTGTTGACTTTTAATGTATTGCATGATGTCATGATACCATGGTTTTCCATCAACTTCTTCGTCAACACCTGAACAATGTGTTGGTTCATCTTTCACATCCAGCTTGATGGGTTGAATTTCAGTATTTGCATCTATTTTAATCATTGCAGCTAGAGTAGCCAGTGCATCAGCAATTTAGTTTTCCTCTTTAGGCAAATGCTCGAATTAAACTTCTTCGAATTGTTTAACCAACTGAGAGATGTACTTATGGTACTGTATCAACTTGGAATCTCTGATTTCCCATTCTCCTCGTAACTGATAGATGACTAGAGCTGAATCTCCAAACACATCTAATACTTTGATTTTTTTTTCAATTGCTGCTTGTAGACCCATAACACAAGCTTTATATTCAGTCACATTATTTGTGCAATTAAAATTTAACCTGGCTGTAATGGGATAATAGTGCCCATCAGGAGATATTAAAATTACCCTAATACCATGACCCAAAGCATTAGCAGCTCCATCAAAATACATCCTTCAAGACTCTTCAACAGGTTTATTTTCTTCAATGGCCATCACATCTTCATCAGGGAACTCCAGGTTCATTGGTTCATAATTTTCAATAGTGCGATCAGCAAGGAACTCGGCTACGACACTTTCTTTTATAGCTTTTTGAGTCACATAAATGATATCATATTTCGAAAGCATAACTTGCCATCGTGCTATTCTTCCTGTCAATGAGGTCTTTTCGAAGATATACTTAATAGGATCCAGCTTTGCTATGAGCCAAGTAGTGTGATAAAGCATATATTGTCTAAGCCTTCGAGTTGTCTTGGCTAATGCATAACATATCTTCTCTAATGGTGAATACTTGGACTCATAATCAGTGAATTTTTTGCTCAAGTAGTATATTGCTCATTTTTTCCTGTCAGTTTCATCTCTTTGCCCCAGCACACATCCCATGGAATTTTCATACACTGTTAAGTACAAGATCAAAGATTTTCTCGGGATTGAAGGCACTAACACAGGTGGATTTGACAAGTATTCTTTGATCTTATCAAAAGCTTCTTGGCATTCACATTCCATTCCCCTGGATCATATTTTCTGAGAAGCTTGAAAATAGGATCGCACTTATAGGTGAATTGAGAGATGAAACGAGCAATATAGTTCAGTCTCCTAAGGAAACCTCGCACTTCTTTTGGGGTATGAGGAGGAGATAAGTTTTGGATGGCTTTTATCTTATCCGGGTCTACTTCGATTCCTCTTTCACTAACCACAAAGCCCAATAGTTTTCTTGACTTGACACCAAATGTACATTTAGCAGGATTCAACTTCAGTTGAAATCTTCTCAACCTGTCAAACAACTTTTTGAGATTGACTATATGATCTTCTCTTTCATGAGATTTTGTAATCATATCATCCACATATACCTCTATTTCTTTATGTATCATGTCATGGAAGAGAGTCACCATTACTCTTTGATAAGTGGCATCAACATTTTTCAACCCAAAAGGCATGACTTTGTAACAGAATGTTCCCCACATGGTCATAAATGTAGTTTTTTCCATATCATCTCAAGCCATCTTGATCTGATTATAGCCTGAGAAACCATTCATAAAGGAAAATGTGGAATGCCTAGCAGTATTATCCACTAGAGTATCGATGTGAGGTAAAGAAAAGTTATCCTTAGGGCTTGCTCTATTCAAATCTCGATAATCAACACACATTCTCACTTTTCCATTCTTCTTAGGAACTGGCACTATGTTGGCTACCCATTCAGGATATTTTGTCACTTCCAAAAATCCAGCATCGAATTGTTTCTTCACTTTCTC